AATAGTTGAAAGTGATAAAAGCTATTTTTAATTTTTTTTTCCTTTATTTTTCCAGTGGCTGGTTGGAATGCGAGCATGCAGAATTTGGTGGTTCACGTTCTCGCCATGAGGCAGCTGGGACGGCTGAACCCTCGTCACCTCCTGGCTGCAGGATACGGGCAGAGACGGACCGAGTGGTGTCCCAGAACCATCCACATCCGACAGCTGTGGGGCTGCTCCAACTTTTCTGCGCCGGGTGGTCCCAGATCTGCTCTCCGGGGCAGAGACGCCGCAAAAACCTGGTCGGTTCAGCAGCTGAGGTTTAAAAGTAAGAAGAAAGGCGCTTACGGGACAAGACAGGAGGAGGACGAAGAGGATGAGGACGACTCAGAGGAGAGTGATTATGAAGACGAGGACCCAAATTTACCCCAAGGTTATAAAGATATGGAGAAATACGTCCCGTCTTTCCGCTACGACGTCATCCTTAAGAATGGACTGGATCTAGCTCGCAAGTGAGTCTGAGCAAAATAAAGTTTCAGATAGATTGTTTTGTATCTTGGTGAAAAAAAAAATTTCTTTTGGTTCCAACAGCAAAGTTGAGGACGCCTTTTACGACAACAAGCTGAGACTAAACGGACTGAAACTGATCAAGAAAAGTAAAGCGGTGAGTGTCGCTTTCTGCTGTAAGAAAAATAAATACTCTTAACTTTGCACGACTTCTTTTAACTCCAGGTCAAWGTCGGGGACACCTTGGACCTCGTGGTGTCGGAGGACAACGAGACGAGAAGTGTCACACTGATGAGAGTCGTCTTAAGAAAGATTTTAGGGGAATCCGAAGACAAAGAAAAACACAAAGTTGCTTTAAGACGATGGAAAAACCTCCAGCTTTCCAAGGAGGAGGCCTACAAGTCATGAACTTTTATTTGACAGACTGGATTTAAACTATCTTCAACAGTACAGAAGTTTGAGTTATGGGAGAAATTTGTAGTTTTACTGTCTCTACTGTAGGATTCTGACATTAAAGGTGCATTTTAAAGTTGTAAACTCTTAAAAATTCTAGTCTGCTCTGTGTAAAATCCAGTTTCAAGGAAAATATAATAAATAATCTATAATTGTCTTTTGCTTCCAAAGAGACATGTTTTTACAAAAACCTTTTAAAATATAATTTTAGAGACACCTGGAAAGTAAAACATTAAATGCTAAATAAATAAAATCAGAGTACCACACCATAAGTATTATAACTTTTATTAGAAATGAGTTACCATGATCCACTGTCATGTTCAATTACTTGTATATTATAAACTTCTATAAGAAGGTTTAACATACAGACAAGTTCAAGAATAACCAGGTAAAGGACAATATTTCTGCCCCTGTACACCACAATGACTTTAAATCAGGCTGTTTAGTGATTAAAGTGAACTTTTAATTCAAGTAAGTTTCTAAAAATTATTGCAGCAGCATTTAAGATGTACAAGGGATTACACGAATGTTCAAAACCATAAACTAAATAAAATTGATCTTTTGATATTTTATGGTGACGTGCTTGACCGGAAACTTTTAGTCAAATCTGTTGCACGAAGAAGTTGACTGCAGTAACGAGTACTATGATATAATACAGTAATACTGTAACCGTAATGAGGAGAAAATATGTAATTTCCAAATGACTGATTATATGTTCGAGGTTTGATCATTTTTTTTTGAGGAAAATTTGTTGCAACTAGAAAAAAAATTCTGCAAAAATGCAGATAAATGCTGAATGATGGCTGAAATTAGCTGAAGTTGTTTTTAAAGCTTAAAGTGCCTGTGACATCAATTTTTTTGTAATAAACATGAATGCATTCTTTAAGGATAACAATGTTAACATATGCGACCCATGACATCGAAACAAGGATTAAGGCCAAAAGTGGAAGGTGGAGAAATAGGCAGCTATAGGATTTTGATTTAAACGTGTTCAAAAGTTGCCTTTTGTCAAAAATATAATGAATTAATGTCTTATCAATGTATCCTTTGAATGAACTGTCTGAAATATAACCCTTAAAAAAATTCTTGAAGCACTTTTTTTTTAGCAATGGCAACAAAAAACCTGATATTGAGGTAAAAAGCCTTAAAATTTTGAATTTTTTCCCTGTGAGCTAGCAATGTTTGTGTTTCTTTCCAACTGAGAAATCAATATACAAATACTATTTGAGGTTTCCTCTTTACATTAACATAAAAACACTACTCAATACATTTACATAAAATTAGGATTCAGACCAAACAGTAATGTATTATCATAACAAACAAGACAAGTCATACCTCTGGATAAACGTATATCAGAATGATCCAAGTATCAAAAGCAGGAATCTGAAAATGTAATTAGGTCATTTTGACCAAATTTGACTTAATCCTCATTTCGGAAAAAAAAAAAAGTCATGCTGAAATGAACAGGTGATATTTTTTTGTGAAATAACAGGAAGTGATGTGAAAGTGAACACAGACTAAAGAAGAATCTGAATATTTAGATTATTTTGAGTCAATATCAGAGATGAAGACAAGTCAGAGTTCAAATACCAAAAAACAAAGTCCAGAGAGTTTTTCTTGAAGAGTTCCCCTTTGATGTCACTTCCTGTTTCACTTTGGCCGAGCCAAGCTCAAAAGAAAGAATGACAGTTATGCAACAAAATGGACTATTAAAAAAAATAAATAAAGGTGTTTTCTTTGACATTTTGTATTTGAAGGATATGCGTGTCACAGGCACTTTAAATTAGGAGAACAAGCTAAAAGCTGACGAGGCAAATTGCTAAACGTAGCAACACACGAGCTAAAAGCAACAACAGGTGAAAAACATCCATTTTCTTTTCTGGGTCTGGAGCAACTGGTGCCYGTCTGCAGCGGTTACTCCACTGGTGGGGGCCACCTGGACGTGTCTCCAGTCCAACACAAAGACACAAAAGATAAACATTCACTGTCAATCACACCTACGGAGAATTTAGAGTTATCGATTAATCTACCGCGCATGTTTGAGGCAGGAAACCGGATCTGGGCTTGAACCTGTGGCCTCACGATTACCAGAACACAAAGCTTCTGTAGCCCTGAAAGGCTAGCTAAAAGTAGCCAAATGGTTGGTAACAGCTAAGAAGTAGCTAGCTAAAATTAAGGGAATCATAGCTAAAAATAGCAGATATCTAGAAGTTAAAATTAACAGAACAAAAGCTAAAGGTAGAACGCTAACTACAAATTTAATGTAGCTAAAAGAAGGCAAAAAAGGAGCAAGCAGATTTCAGAAAGCTGCTATTGAAACTCAAAAGATCAACATTTTTCTATAAATAATTTGCAAATAAAGTTTAACATTTTGAAAAGTATAAAAGTTACAAAAAGCTCAAAGTCACGGCACTTATCTCCTGAATGAGCTGAACGTTTTGACACATTAATGGCTAAAAACGGTTTAAAACAACAGTTCACTCTCCACCTAAACCACACGTGTTGATGTGTTTCAAACTCGTCGTGTATAAAAGCAAAACGTGAGAAATGTTCTCGTCGACCTGCCTGTGAGAATGCGACGCGCCGTTAGCGGAGGAACTGCGCGACTTTACAGTTTTATCAACTATAGTAGTTATTGTTTTTAAGGCTACAAATAACGTCGTTTTAAATACGAGCAGAATAAAATCCAACTACATGAGCTTGAACAGCTGCGGGCGAACGTTAAAGTAACAGCTTGGCTTCATCCTACGTCGGACATATTTTTATACTTTTTTAATCAAAGTTCAGGTGATTTCAGCTTATATACTGAGAAATGTTACGAACAGGAAGTGACGAGGGACACTAGGAGACGGTGTTCGACCTCTTGGCTTTCTTGAGGATGTCGCACTTCTTCCGGTTGGGCCGCCGGCAGCGCTCATCGATGCTCGGCACGCACTCGTAGTGCCACACCTCCTCCATCTTGTCCACGGGGTACACGGCCTCCACGTAGTGCCGGATGAGCCGCAGCCGCACCGGGTCCAGCTGCTTCTTGTTGCAGGCGCCCGAGTGGTTGTACTGCAGCCGCAGGTTCTCGGAGGTGAACAGCTCCGGGAAGAGGCGCACCAGCAGGCGGGCGGCGAAGTTCCCCACCGAGAGGCTCTGCTGGAYGATCTCCCGGACCTCGGCGTCTGACAGCAGGTAGGCGGACGGTACCTGGAAGCCGGGGCTGGACACGGTCAGCTTGTCCAGGGGGATCTTACAGAAATCTTTGCTGCTCTTCTCCGGAGGTAGAGTTTGAAGATCCAGGTCTTCTCTCAGGGCGTCTGGGTGGAAGTGGCTGATCTGGCAGAGGAAGTCCTGCTCCGGGTCCTGACCGTAGACCTTACGCTGCTGCATGTAGGACCTCCTCTGCTCCGTGTCGCGTCTCCGGCACCGCTCGTCMAGCTTCCCCACGAACTCCAGCATCCAGACTCGGTCGTTCCTGGCCTGCGGGTAGACCAGCTGCACGTAGTGGCGGATAAGGTTCACGCGGACGGGGTCCAGCTGCTTCTTCCCGAGGGAGCCGCTGCAGTTGTACTTCTTCCTGGCGTTCTCGTGGGTGAAGAGTTCGGGGAACGTGAGCACCAGCAGGCGGGAGGCGAAGTTGCCGATGGACAAGCTGCACTCGTAGTTGCTCCTCAGCTGCTCTCTGGACAAAATGTACTCCCGGGGAACGGCGAAGTCCGGCGGAGGAATCTCCAGGTTTTCGAAATCCACGGGTGCTAGGAGCGATTTCTTGGACTTGCGGTTGGGTCTCTCGGACTCGCYCGCTCCTGGCAGCCGGACGGAAACGTCTTCGGGGAGGCCCGGGTCGTAGCTCTCGCCGTTCACGTTGTCGGACTCGCTCCCGTTGCTGCGCGGACTCTCCAGGGCGTCCTCCAGGTGCTGGAYGCACACCTGGAGCCAGCTGTCCTCAGGCACGTCGGGAAAGTTCGCCTCCATGTACCGCCGGATGATTTCCATCTTGTCCGWATCCAGAACGCTGGAGCCGTCTGGATGTCTCCCTTCCTCGAAAACCTCGGGGAGGAGGCGGTGTGTGAGGAAAACCACAAAGTCCTCGGGCGAGGAGAACTCATCCAGCTCCTCTGCAGAGTGGAAGGCGGTGTCTGACCCCGCCAGGCTGCTCTGCTGGTTCCCCACAGGGATTTGCTCCTCCTGACCCCGCTCGTCGATGAAACAAAACGTCTGAGGACGCTCCGTCTTCACGGCGGCGTCCGGCGGCATCTTCATCGGCCGAGCGCTCTCCACGTCCCGCTGCGTCCAGAAGCGGTTGAAGAAGTCGCTGATCTGGAGGAGGCACTCGTCCTGCCACACGCCGTTGCTTCTCGCAGACGGGTAGCAGACCTCCACGTAGTTCCGGATCAGCTGCAGGTGCAGAGGCTCCAGAGTCCTCCTGCTCGCCGGGCAGTCGCGGCAGCACTCCCCGGCTTTGAAGAGCTCGGGGAAGAGGTGCACGAGCAGCCGGCAGCCCAGCTCGCCGGCGCTGGACGTGTGCTCCGTCAGCTGACTCAGCTCGTCGTGGGTCAGCAGGTACTCGGGGGGAGGATGGAACTCSGCCGCCCTCTCGGCCGGTTTGATCTGCTTCTTGATCCGCATGACTTCCAGGGTTAACGAGTCCACTTTGCTGTGCAGCTGAGTCACGCTGGAGTTCAGCGTGTTCAGGATGAAAAACATCTTCTCGATCAGGGGGTAAAGGTTGGAGTCTGTTGTCGACGTTTGGCCCGAGGCGTCGGTGGCGGCGAGAGTCTCCAGGGAACCGTTCTGGTCCGGACTCTGRAGCCTCGGTGAAAGGAGGCTGTTGAAGCTGTTGTGATTGACCTGCTGCTCCAGGCTCGGAGGATTCCTTTTCTCTGCAATCCTGTGGGAGATGCTGAAAAGAGGCTTTCTGTAGGAAGACCTGGATTTCTCCTGAAGGGGGTCTCCCTTTTCCCCAACTGTGGTGGGGCAAAGAGGCTCCTGTCTGCTGCCTTTATCCCTCAACAAGTGCCTCATCTGAAAAAAAGATTGTTTAAATAAGCAACAACACAAACATTTAAGACAGTTAATATAACGTGATTTTTTTTTTATTTCTAGACATGCAGCATCGTGCACACATTTAACCTCACACTTCCTTTATTTTAGGTTTTGTTCCTGAACTTTTATCTGTAAAAATATTCATGATGAATAAATATCCAAGGTTTTAAAAGGTCTGTCAAAGTTGTTTTTTTTACTGGTTGTATTTTCTCCATTCATTTTCAGTAACGTAAAATACTTTAGCTTTTAGCTGTTGTTTTGTTAAGGTTAACAAACATTTTGCCACTTTTAGTTTTTCGCATCTGGTTTGCAAATTTAGTTAAAGTTGAAAATTAACTAAACTTATCTTTGACCGACTGTTTAATTTATTATTTATTCTGTAGCTTTAGGCTATGGTCTAATACGTTTAGTTACAATTGAGCTAATTTTAGCTTTTAGCTACAGTTTCTCTAAACTTAGCTGTAACCTACTGTTTTGCTAATTTTAGCTTTTATCTATGGTTTTGTTAAACATAAGTTTGACCTAATATTTTGCTAATTTTAGCTTTATGCTTTAGTCTACTACTCGTAGCTACAGTTTTACTAACCTTAGCTTTAAGCTACAGTTTAGCAAAACTTGGCTTTGACCTGCGATTTTGCTGATTTAAGCTTTTAGCTACAGTTTAGCTAAATTTATTTTTAATTAATTAAA